AACCCCAACCCTAACCTTAACCCTAACCCTAACCCTAACCCTAACCCTAACCCTAAGCCTAACCTAACTAACCCTAACCCTAACCCTAACCCTAGCCCTAACACGTTAATCCATATACATTTACAATCCAAACCTAAACCTAACACTAACCTTAACCCTAACCCTAACCCTAACCCTAACCCTAACCTAACTAACCCTAACCCTAAACCTAACCCTGACTCGTTACTCCATATACATTAACAACACTAACCCAAACCCTAAACTTAACCCTAACCCTACTCAGTACCCTAACCCTAACCCTAACCTTAACCTTAACCCTAACTCGTACCCTAACCCCATTCCTAACCCTAACCCTAACCCTAAACTAACTAACCCTAACCCTAAACCTAATCCTAACTCGTTAATTTATATACATTTACAACACTAACCCTAACCCTAACCCTAACCTTAACCTAACCCTAACCCTAACCAGTACCGTAACCATAACCCTAACCCTAACCCTAACCCTAACCCTAACCTAACTAACACTAACCCTAAACCTAACCCTAACTCGTTAATCCATAAACATTTACAATCCTAACACTAACCCTAACCCTAACACGTTAATTCATATAAATTTACAACCCTAACCCTAACCTTAACCCTAACCCTAACCCTAACCCTAACCTAACTAACCCTAACCCTAACCCTAACCCTAACCTTATTAACCCTATTCCTAACTCTAACCTAACTAACCCTAACCCTAACTCGTTAATCCATATACATTTAAAACACTAACCCTAACCCAAACCCTAACCTCAACCCTAACCAGTATCCTAATCCTAACCCTAACATAACGAACCCTAAGTCTAACCCTAAACCTAATCCTAAATCGTTAATCCATATACATTTACAATCCTAACACTAACCCTAACGCTAACACTTTAATCCATATACATTTACAACCCTAACCCTAACCTTAACCCTAACCATAACCCTAACCTAACTAAACCTAATCCTAACCCTAACACGTTAATCCATATACATTTACAATTCTAACACTAACCCTAACGCTAACAAGTTAATCCATATACATTTATAACCCTAACCCTAACCTTAACCCTAACCATAACCCTAACCTAACTAAACCTAATCCTAACCCTAACACGTTAATCCATATACATTTACAATTCTAACACTAACCCTAACACTAACACGTTAATTCATATACATTTACAACCCTAACTAAACCTAATCCTAACCCTAACACGTTAATCCATGTATATTTACAACCCTAACCCTAACCCTAACCTTAACCATAACCCTAACCCGTACCATAACCCTAACCTAACTAAACCTAACCCTAATCTTAACTAGAGGCCGACCGAATTTTGGCTTCGGCTTCGGTTTCGGCGCCGAAAGTGGCCATTTTATCACTTTCGGCCAAGTTTCGGTTTCGGCCGAAACTGAAAAGTTAACTTTCGGCTTAATTTCGGTTTCGGCCGAAAGAGAAAAGTTAACTTTCGGTTTTTCTTCGGTTTCGGCCGAAATTGACTTAGACTTTCGGCCA